AAAAAGCTTTGTTTATCATTTACTCAAAATGGTAAATTAATCTCAGAAGGTCATTTTCCTAGCTCACACCCCATATGTTCTTTATCTTCATGCTGAAACGGATGATCTTACCAAATTTGGCAAATTTAATTTTGATGCGGTATTCTGTGAAATCCAGAGGGATTTCAGTGATCTTGATCGATCGTGCTGAAACAAAAGGTTGTGCTTGTACAATATCAAGGGTAAGAACGTGCAGTTTTCTAAATTAGGCAATAGAACTGAACATGCATGATCTCATTCTTCTTGGTTGCGAAAGGAAATTTTGAGGATGCATTGCGATTGGTTATTTGGATGTTTGGTCAAATTCGCTCCTGTGAATGAATCATATTTGTTGAAAAGCAAGTCGATAACGAAAGAAACTTTTTGCTGCAGCATCGTTCCAGAAAATTCTTTGAGAAGAAAAAATCTATGAAAGGACAGTTTTTGTCATTCAAAATCTTAAACTGAAGTTGCATCTTATCTAAAAGTTCTCTGACGTATCAAAACTAGTGTTAACGTCAGAAGTGGTGGTGATTTTATTCAGAGTCATTTCTAAAGTATCTTTTTCTTTGCCTTTTTTTAAAGGCGAAGAGTCGACTTCCATGATCACAATTGACTCTGAAGTCTCAGAAGTTTGTTGGATTAGTAGAATATCTACAGTTTGGGTCGTATTTTGTTTTTTAGTTTTTTGTGTTGATAAAGGTGAAGACGAACGTCCTCATTGTTTGTTTTTTTGCTCGCTGTTTTTTTGGCATTTTGTGATAAACAGGAGAGAATGACAAATATTCTCATTATTTGTTTTTTTGCTCGCTATTTTTTTTTGGCATTTTGTGATAAACAGGAGAGAGTTTTTTTTTCCTTTGGTAAAGGTCCTTTTATATCAATTCCAGCTCTATTAAAAGGAGCTTTGATTTTGATTGGCTGTAAAGGCTTTTTTTTTAGATGATTCACATTTTTGACAATTATCACATTGTTATATATTTATGATCAGTAATATCACTTTTTTGCTTTTTCAAAAGTAGCATCGCCTCCTAGATGAGCACCTATCATATCTTTATGAAGATTATAAAGAATAATTTCCACTTATTCAGGTAGGATTATTTTTTAATTTCTATCTCTAGTTCGCTTATATAATAAGTTATTTTTCATCAAATATTGGGTTGAAATCTTTTGTAATTTAATCTGTTGAAAATCATTTAAGTTAAAGGGGTATATGAGGTTTGTAAGATATTATGTCAAATCTTCATATAATTTATTATCCATTATTAAAATATAAAATGGTAAAGGTGATGGTACAATCATATTGGTTGAGTTAAAACTATTAAGGTTAATCCATGATAAGGCATCAGTATTCTCATGATTCTTTTCTTTTTTGTATTTTATTTTATATGAATATTCTTGTAAGGTAAGTCTCTATTTTATGATTCATTTGTTTTCAATAATTTTAGAATCAGAATTTAATAACCATTGTAATGCAGAATGATTGGTAATGATCGTAAATTTGTTTTCAAATATATAATACTTGAAGTATTTTACTGCCTAGACTATAGTTAAACATTCTTATTCTATTGTACTATAATTTTTTTCGCTAGACTTAAAGATTTGCTTGCATAAATAACTACATGTTTTTTTCTATCATCTCCTTTTTGAAACAATACTGCTTCTAATCCAATTTGAGATGCATCAGTATATAAAGTAAACGATTGATCAAAATCAAGGTAAATAAGAATTGATGCTGTCATCAATTTTTCTTTTAGTATATCAAATATTTGTTGGCATTCATCTGAACATTGATATAAAGTTTCCTTTTCTATTAATTTGTAGAGTGGTGATGATATTTTTGAAAAGTCTTTTATAAATAAATCTTCTATAATATAAAGCTAAACCAAGAAAGGCACACAATTCTGTAAGATTTCTTGGAACTGGATAATTAGCAACTTTTGTTATTTTTAATGGGTCAGGTTGTATACCCTGTTCATTAACAACATGTCCTAAGAAATTTGATCTTCTGAGAACAAAAGTGACATTTGTCAGGTTTTATTCTCAAATTGGCATCTCTAATTCTGTCAAAAGTGATTTGTAGATGTTGTAGATGTTCTTCAAAAGTTTTAGAATGAATATTAAGATCATCCATATAGACTTTGATGAAGTGTTGCTGCTACTTTTTTTTGCATTTAACTCATATTTTCGCAGTACTTTACTAGCTTCTTATTAATAAAATAGATAAAAAAAAAAAAAGGGAAAGAAAAACACCTCTCAAGAAGATATTATGAATGTTATGGAGTTTATTTAACTTTCAACAAGAGAATCCGTAATATCGATAATTGAAGATATTATATTTCGAAGGAAAAAGGGAATTCCTCAAAAGAGTAAGTATGTAAGACTTTTGATTCCGGTTTCTTCAAGGCTATAATTGATGATAAACGATAACCAAGCGTATCTCCCTGAGACCTTTATGCATAATGGCCGCAAGAAGCACAAATCGTTTTCTTCTAGGTATTTCTTGATTGTTTTAGAAATGATTTCGTTTTTACTATAAATATGTTTGAAATGATTAAGGGCTTCTGCGCAACTCTGAATTCATTTATACCGATAAGAATCAGAAGCCGTATCGTCGAAGGATGATTGTCAAGTAATCAAAATAATAGGTTGAATAACTGCTGAACTTGATCAATAGAACTATTGATTACAGATAAATATACTGTATCTAAGCGTTTCGCAGTAAATGCTTCAAAGGAATTATTATAATAAAGAAGTTGTGAATTCTAAGAGAGATGTAAAGTTCCCAAGAGCATCGGATGAAACTTTGATTTTTTTTAACATTTTTTAGGACATAATTAATAAAAGACTTTGAAATTATAATCGCGGAAATTACTTCATTAGTAAAGAGAAACGAGAATAATTGCGTAAGATATTGATTAACGGAATCGCTCGATATTTTTCACAGTAATATTCAAAAACCAACGATTAGGTCGTTAGGATGTGAAAGTATTTTTGTTCATTTGTCCCAGCAATTTTTGAATAAGTATATACATTATAACACCACCTAAAAAATCGTTAACATCATTGAACTTATTAAAAACCTTATTTTGTAAGTATCCTCTGGGCAGCTTGTATGCAGTGATTGAATTGATAGCGTATATGACATTTAACGAGTTTTCAGCTCACCACTCTTTTGAAGCAAAGATTTTCCTTACAAGAAATCCTTGACGGTATAATATATCTAGCTGTCGTACCAGAGTCTTGTTGGCGTTACGTGACGTGATGCTTTGGAAATTTGTATTTTGACAATTACCCAATGATATTGTTGTCTATTAATATAAACCCACAAAAAGATGATGACGTTTCAAAAATCATTGAAATAATTGTGGATATTTTTTTTCGGCTTTGAAAGCAAAACTCAAACAATGAGAAATGGTAAAAAAAATTTTTTACAACCCCTTTATTCTATAAGGAAATGCCAGTTTACATAGTCTCGGCAGGTATTATAACCGCTCATCCCGATACTTGATATTATAGTCTGATGGAGTGGGATTCCGCAGCCACATTCTTAGTGCAAATATAACAGATAACGTTTTTGGAGTGAAGTATTTATGATTATTTAAGAAATTAATATAAATCTTGCATTATGCAAGCCCGAGTTAAGTTAATCGGAATGATTACCTAGAACGCGTTTCCAATATAATTGCGTGGTCATAATTTAAAAATATCATTACTTTTCACACTTGTGTTCAAATCTCCTATTAAAATCCAATAAATTATAAATGATTCATTAGCAATTAAACATAATAACAAACGATAATAATAAATTTAAATAAATACTTTGACCAAATTTTTGCAAGTAATACGCAATATGTTGTTCAATTAATTTAGGATCTGAAACTATATTAAATAAAACAAATCTGATTTAGGTAAACAAAATAAATAAATATAAATATATATTAGTTAATACCTTCAGGATTTTCAATTTGAACTCCTATAGAATTTCTTGGCTTGGGAAGATTGAAAAAACTAAATTGACGGCTGGTATAAATTGCTTCAGAATGTAACGAGGCATTAGAAGACGAATCTGAATGATGAATCCTATCAGCATTATAAAAGTCTCTACCAATTTCTGATTTGTATTTATATAACCTTGAATTTAATAACGTTTCCCAATCATCAATGACCTCATGCAATTCCGTAATAGATGGTCTTTGTTTGAAATCAACATCAAGACATTTGTTCACTAAATCGATGTAACATTTTGGTGTTCCAATGGCAACCCTCGGTCTCAAACCATTACAGATTGCTAATACAAGGTCTTCGTTATGTGGCACATTTCCGTAAGGTGGTTTTCCTGTTGATATTTCTATCATAATAATACCCAAACTATAAATATCACTTGCAAAGGTGTACGGATTCCCATTATATATTTCAGGTGCTATATAAGGAAGCACCCCGCAAACGTTTGAGCAACCATCAAATTTTGAATTATTTATTGATTGCGCAAGTCCTAGATCCGTTATTTTTGTAAATTCATTTATATATTTCATTTGAAGTATATTTCCACTATGCAAATCCCTGTGTATATATTTTAATTCATGTATCTTGGAAAGGTTTTGTGCAATCTTCCTTAAAATACTCATTCTTTCTTTCCATTTTAAAGAAAAATTTGTACGAAGATAATCTCTTAAATTTCCCTCTCTCGCGTATTCTAAAATCATCATATATTCTGAAGTTTTCGGATCACTTGTTACACCATAAAATTGGATTAAATCCGAAAAAGATGATATCTTACAGTGATGATGGATATTTATCTCATTAATAAATATTTTTGTCATATTTTTGGAATCCTTGATTTTCTTTAGTATAACTACTTTAGGTTCGGAACGTCGTTTCAATCTATCAAATTTTGGAATGCCGTCAATCCACGTAGCAGAGTATATTTTGGAAAAACCGCCTTCTCCTATCAATTTAATATCTTGAAATCTGTGATAAGGTACCCAATCTAAATTATAATAATAATGTTCGGTTTTAAGTTGTGATTTATAAATTAATTGATCCATCTGAGGATTACCACTCGTTTTCCCTTCCTTTAAAAATTTACCGGGATCACACTTGTTGCACCAAGCTTTACCGGTATTCATTTGTTTGCAATTAGGACATATCCCATCATATTTAAATCTATTCCTCTCTTCCTCTGATAGTTTATCCAATCTTTTCTTATATCCGATAATTTTACTCTCTTCCAAAAATAATTTGGTATGACAGTCATTGCACCATTTCTTTTCGGAATCAAATGGTTGATAACATCTTTCACATCTACCATATAATTTAATTAATTCTTCTTTAGTTAATTCTATTATTTCATTACAATTCTTTGTTTCATCTGAATCTTTAGAATTATTTTTTTTGGATAATTTCTTCCCTTTGAGATTAATTACTTTAAGTTTGATTTTAATCTTATTTACAATTTTATTCATTATTGTCTAAATGATGAATCTTTTTTTCATTTAATTCATTTTTAACAGGTTTTATATGAAGCCAGGTTTGGGCTTTTGTGCCACTACAAATCCAAATAAAGTTCAGATTAAATACTTACCTGCGCCACACATCAAAAAAAATTGGAATATATATATTATTATGGAACTTTCAGTAAATTTGATCACAATCTGTAACGTTTTAATAAAAAAAAATTTATAACGATGAAAACGCAACCGTGCGTCTCGATGGACACATTGACGTGCGATAAATTACCCACATTCGAAAGCGCGCAACGTAAAGGTTTTTTGATGATTTGATCGTCACACCATCCGTATGAGCAATAGTTTATCCTTAATATTAAATGAGAAGTAGGGAGCAGAAATTAGAAACCTAACTAAAAGAATATTAATAACTTGAATATAATTTACATTCAAAAAAAAAAATTTGACTGATAGGTAAGTAAGCCATCAATTCGGGCGGCATTATAAATTTGACCAGAGTTGAAAATAAATGAAATTATAAATTTGGTCACGTGATGATGATGGAATAATGTGGTTTTATAAAGAGAAAGTTAAATTAACAAATTCCATTAAAAGAACGACGGTAGTACCATCACACTGATGGTATTTTACAAATATTAAAAGAAATCGAGAATTGATTGGTTTAAATCATGTTATGGTCAGATCTGCGAAAATTGACATATTTGATGCGTCAAATTTTTCGTAGGTCAAAGACTCGAGTTGCACAATGCAGAATCTTTGACTTGCATTGGTGGTGTCAAAAGATAATTGGGAGTTCCAATCTATTGATTGATATAAACATTCTTTTTTTTAAAAAAAAAAAAAAAAAAAGACACTAATAATCCCACGATCTAAAAATTGCAAAAAGAAAAATTATTAGTTGAAATTTAAAATACTGTAATCCAATTATTCCAATGATAATTTATATATCGTCGTCCCCCCCAAAAAACATAAGGCATTTTTTATTATGAAACGTTAGTATTGGTCAAAAAATTAAACTTGCAAGTATGTTACACAAATTAAAATACAACCTTTTTTTATCTGGATAATCATCAAGATCATCTGTAAAAAAAATTAAATAAATAAATTATCGTAACCATCGGGAATATGCAAACTCGGATTGGCTTATAATCTTTTTTTTCGTCAAAAAAAAAAATTTTTTTTTCTTCCACCTCACCCCTCTGTGATCTATTCAAATCGTTTACATTCAACAAAAATGGTTGTTGCCACGAATTTAGGTTTCCCTCGTATGGGCGCTCACCGTGAATTGAAACGTCTTGTTGAAAATTTTTGGGCTGGAAAAATTGATGAAAATGCCCTTCTTAGTGGTGCAAAGGTAGGCATAGGCGTGCTTTCTATGATTCATATCGTATTTTCTTTCTCATTTTTTTTTGGATGAAATATGTAGAAAAATCGTGAGGAACATTGGTCTCTCCAAAAGGATGCTGGTCTCGATCACATTCCTTCTAATGACTTTTCCTTCTATGACCAAGTGGTCGACCACTCTTATGCTTTTGGTGTCATTCCTGCACGTTATAAGAACCTTAAACAAGGTCTTGAAACCTATTTCGCTATGTGTAGAGGTCTTCAGAAATCGGGAATTGACGTTGCTGCTTGTGAAATGAAGAAGTGGTTCGATACCAACTGTGAGTTACAAAAAATTTTTTTTGCTAATTGCATTTTTCATTGACTAATCAATCGTTTATATTTTACTACAGATCATTACATTGTCCCTGAATTTGAATCAGACCAACAATTCACTCTCAACTCAACCAAAATAATTAACGAATATAATGAGGCTAAAGCCATTGGTATTCAAACTCGTCCCGTCATCCTGGGTCCGGTCTCCTATCTTCTCCTCGGAAAGCCTGCGAGAGGTTCTCCTCAAGACTTTGAACCAATTCAGTTACTGAACAAGCTTCTTCCTTTATACGAGGAATTATTATGTAAATTGGCTGATGCTGGAGCTATATGGATTCAAATCGATGAACCATGCCTTATTCTTGACCAACCTTCCACCCTCAAGGATAAATATGCTACCGCATATAATGCGCTCACAAAGGTGTCCCCAAAGTTGAAAATATTGATTGCAACATATTTTGAGCGCATTGGTACCAACATAGATTTCATCATTGATACTCCTATAAATGCTATTCATATTGATTTGGTTCGTGCACCTGGTCAATTGGAACCAATTTTGAAATGTCTGCCTGCGACGGTTTCCTTGTCACTTGGTTTGATCAATGGGCGTAACATTTGGACGGCCAATTTAGATGCTGCTTTAGCTGAAGCTCAGAAAGCCGTCACTGCTCTTGGTTCTGAACGTGTTTTCATAGCTCCATCTTGTTCTCTTTTGCACACACCTCATTCTGTTCAAAACGAAAAGAAAATGGATGCTGAAATGTTGTGTTGGTTATCGTTTGCTGTTGAAAAGATCAAGGAATTGGTTATTATTTCTAAAGCATTGAATAACGGTGTCGAGTCGGTTCAGACAGAGCTTGATGTTAATCGCAAATCGTAAGTACACAATTTCAATGCATTCGAAGTCACGTGATATTTACTATCTCGTGACTAGCTAGCGAACAAATGTATGTCGGTTGTTAAATAAGGTTATGTCGTATTTTAGAATTCAAAGTCGTAAAACATCAACCCGCATCCATAATCCGAATGTGCAAAAGAAAATGAAGTCTCTCACTCCCGATATGTTCAAGCGTAAAACTCCTTTCCGCGAAAGACAACAAAAACAGAAACAAAAGTTGGGTCTTCCTCTCTTCCCAACGACCACTGTTGGATCTTTTCCCCAAACAAAAGAAGTCCGTTCCATTCGCGCTAAGCTCAAGAGAGGTGATGTAAATGTAGCACAATATGACGAGTTCATGAATAAAGAAATCGAAAAATGTATTCGTTTCCAGGAAGGAATTGACATGGATGTACTTGTACATGGAGAATTCGAACGTAATGACATGGTGGAATTCTTTGGTGAAAACCTGCAAGGTATTTATTTTACAAGTTTTGATTAATCTTTGTTTTGGACAATACAATCAATTAATTTATTGAGCCTTCTACAATAGGATACGTCCACAGTGAAAACGGTTGGGTTCAATCTTACGGATCACGTTGCACAAAGCCACCCATTATCTTTGGAGATGTTTCTAGACCAAAACCCATGACTGTAGAAGTTATTAAATACGCTCAAACCCTGACCAAAAAACTTGTTAAGGGCATGTTAACGGGTCCAGTCACCATGCTCCAATGGTCGTTCGTTCGTGATGATCAACCCCGAAAAGACACTACGTTCCAATTGGCTCTCGCCATTCTCGAAGAAGTACAGGATCTCGAAGCTGGTGGAATTTCTGTGATTCAGGTACGCAAAAGTATCTCATTTCATGTGATCGAACCTATGGTGTCAATAGGGTTGAATTTAATTGTCTTAATTTTTGTTATTGTTTAGATTGATGAACCTGCTATCCGTGAAGGTTTACCTCTCCGTAAAGAAGACTGGAATGAGTATCTAAAATGGGCAGTTGACGCTTTCCTTCTTTCTAGTACCGGTGTTGATTGTTCGACTCAAATTCATACCCACATGTGTTATTCCGACTTTAACGACATTATTGAAGCGATTCAACGTTTGGATGCCGATGTAATTACAATCGAAAATTCTAGATCCGACTTGAAGCTCTTGAATGCGTTTGAAAAGCACGAATACACAAACGAGATTGGTCCAGGTCTCTATGATATTCACTCTCCCCGTGTACCTTCAACGGAAGAATTGAAATCCCGTCTGCAAGCAATCCTCAAATATATTCCAAAGAACCTTTTGTGGGTAAACCCTGATTGTGGCTTGAAGACTCGTGGATGGCCTGAAGTCGAAGCAGCACTGAAGAACTTGACAGATGTCGCTAAGGAATTTCGTGCAGCTGAGGCTTGTCCTTAATTGTATTTGGTTCTCTCAAAAGAATCAAGTCTAAAATTAATTTAACAAATTTAAGAGACATTAAATTAATACGTCTTTTGTTTAATAATTTATTTAAAATATATAATAAAATGATTTTCGATTAAAACTTGATATACAATTGTTTAGATTTCGAGACTCGTTATATGCATCTTATAAGTAAAAATCATTTTCACAGCTATTAAGAATGTGCGCTTTTATTGTTTTGGGGACCGTTCACAGCAGAACTGAGATTGGTTCATTATATCCTGCTTGAACTGATTCATCATACTATTTTTAAAACAACTTGCGTTTGCAAACTTTTTCCCAAGCTTGTAAGACTTTATTCTGCGAAGTCACGTGTCAGGAAGAGTATTTTCATAAAAAATAATGTATATGATTTCTAAATTTAAATTTCTATGAATATGCAAAAAATAAAAATTCCTTTTCCCATGTTTCAAAAAAAAAATATGATAAAAATCGATTTTGAAAAAAACCAAATGTGGTTATTTGGCCTAAAAAAAGATAACTACTATCAAGCAAAGACAACGATTAGAAATAGATTTTTACTTTGTTTACCAATAGTAATAAAATTAAAGCATCTGAACAGCCTATTTTACCAATTAACAAAACTCGTCTCAATATTGACCAGTCTTATTATGCTTCAAAAAAATATTAAATTATCAATTAAAGTTATTGAGATCCTGATTATTAATGTTAGATCTTTTTTTGTTTATTTTAATAAAATCATTAGATTTATTATTAATAAAAAAAAATCTGTATAAATAAACACAATTATTTTTTGTCATTAAAACTAATATAAACAATTTGACTGATATAATGGATACTTTATTCTCAAATATAATTTGAATTTATCTTACTTTCTTTTTAATAAGAAAATTTAAACTAAATTTAAATTTTCATGAAAATTAAATAATCTTCTTATTGATACAAACAAATTATACTTACAAATATTTGGATATATAGGAGGTTTGCTAGAAAAATGGGGCTCTGAGCATTTTTTATTAAAATTTTAATTTTTATTGCATTTTAATTTTTGATAATGTTAGATTAAAATGCAATAAAAATTAAAATTTTAATAAAAAATGCTCAGAGTCCCATTTTCCTAGCAAACCTCCTATATAATCAAAATTATAGCTTTAACTCAAAAAATTTCTAT